TTTATTCATAGATGATAAAAATTTATGTAATGGTTTTGATTTTAAATTCGGAAGAAGAAAATGAAGATTTGCATAATACCAAAAAACAAAAATGCAAGTTTTTGTTTTTTGGTAAACTTTAAAACCATCAAATTTTAAAATTTGATGGTTTTTGCAAATTTTAAAACCATTGTTGCGCGCGAACGCCTACGGAGCCTACAGAATAAAATTGAACTAACTGTCGATGAAAAAGATTTTAAAACACAAAGAAGGATGTTAAACTAAAAGAATAAGTTACGTTAAGTTTATTTATACTTTTGTTTTTAAATGCTTAAGATTACAATTCTGGATTTAATTTAATTAGTGAACGTTAAGAGTTATTATTATAAGAATATTTGAATTTATTAACAAACGTAAACATTTTAAATTATTTGTTTACACAATATTTACACAACGTAAAAGCATTTAGACATTTCCATTATAATTATTTTGACGTCATTTGATTTGCCATCGTATTATTTTGAGTATATTTGTTTGTGGTTATTTATTATTTAAAAAAGCTCTAGTCAGTTCGGATACTGTCACTGTTAAACTTTTATATAAACTTTTTGAAAAATCATCTGAAACTTTGTCTGTTAATTCTGACGATCAATATCAAAATTTAATTGACATTCGTGATACAATAACTGAAAAATTCACTCAAGTCAGTCAACTAGACGAAGAAATTTCTTTACTTATTGAAGACGATGATGAGCTACAACAGGATGCCTATACTTCTACAGTTATCAACTGTAAAAACTAATTGATAAGCTGTTTCTACGAATAAAAAAAGAGTTTTCTCAAAAAAAGCGATTCAAAAACATGTCCTTTATTAGTCTTTTTTGAGTAGTTATACAGTTTTTTGCATTCAGTCGCGGTTTCATAAGATTGTAAACCAGCTAAGTGCTTAATGAAAAACTTATATTAAAATCCGAAACAATCTATTAGAGAATTTCCATCCATACATGTAGTTGGTGAAATCGTACAGATTTCCACTACCCAATTAGTTTTGGCTACATCCCATTCATCTTTATCTTTTAGCTGATTTATATCATATAAGTATTTTTTTAAAGGACTACTTTGCAAAAGGTTTATCAAGTTTGGTTCGAGTTGAACTGATTTCCAAAGAGATAAAAGAAAATAATCTATCGTAAAAGTGTTATTAATAACGAAGTTGTTAAATTAGACTTTGTTGTACGTTTAGTTCCCCATTTATGCACTTTTGAGAAAAACTATTCTAGGTTTATGTTTTTACTAGGTAATTGAAAAGTTTTGAATTTATTTGGTGATGACAGTATTTGTAAGGAACCATCTTTAAAAGTATTCTACGTGTCAAAAATTTGAGTTTTATCTATTTCTGACTTACTCGACAGAGCTTTGATTTGTGAACTTTTGGCATTTATTTTATTTTTAGTTTTTATTTGCAGACTTATTCATCATCTTCATTCTAATCGTCACTCGTCTCCAATACAACCTCACATACATAATGGGATTCCAATTTAGTATAGGCACTTTTACGGTAAAGCTTCTTTTCTTTAACTAATGTTTCAAATAAATTCTCTTTGTTAAGATTCTCTTTCATAATTCTAATGATTTCTACTTTGTTGTCATTATCGGAGATAAATCTTCCAAAATCCTAGTGGGTACCGACGCCATTCTCACGTCGGTGCGATGTTGGATTTAGGTTGGCGATGTCGCCAACGTAAAATTAACATTGTACCAACGTGAGAATGACGTCGAGAACTAAGACTGATTTGCAATGTTGAATAACCATCAAAGCGACGTAAGACTTGCGTTTTTATCAAACATCGGAAAATGACGTCACACCTAATGTATGTTTTAATTCGATGGCATTCGCTAAAGATTGAATTATTTATACCAAATTTGTTTAAGTAGCGTTTAAGCTATTGAAATTTTCTTTAATATCAATTACTAAAAATTGAACTTTTATTCAAAACGTTGGAGAAATTAAAACAAGACGCTTCATTGCTTGATAGAGCATAAAATTTTGGCCAATTTTAGCAAAGTTTTCTGAGTCACAACCATTTATTGTATGTCTATTTTGTGGTAAAAAGAAACCAGAAAAAAAGAAAAAATTTATTTGACCATTTGCATGAATTTTTAACTGAGTTCAGATTGCTTCAAATTAGTAGAATTGAATGTAATGGAAAATTTTTGCCTGTTTCAATTGAGACATTTGTTTGTGATGCACCTGCTTGTTCTTTTTTAAAAAATATTAAAGGTCATGAAGGGTACCTTCAATGTGAAAGATGATTAATTGAAGGAGAATATGACAGAAAGGTTATTTTTACTGAAGTTAACTGTCAATTGCGAAGTGATGAACAATGTAAAAAATATATTTATTTAAATCATTCATTAGGAACAATATATACAACAAAATAATGTTTGATGCAACAATATAACAAAATAATGTTTGCTGCAACAATAATACAAAACAATGTTTGCTGTGACTTACATCAATTAGGAAAAACTCCCTTAGTAGAATATAGAATTTTGTGTGTAAAAGAGTTTGCTATTGATTAAATGGATTTTGTTTGTCTTGGTTTTATAAAGCGGCTATTAAAATTTTGGCTTGAAGACCCACGAATATGTCGGTTATCATGTCAGCAAAAAAAAGCAAAATTTTGATAAAGTGGTTCTTTATCATGGTAAAATACCCAGCGAATTTGTACGACAACCACGTTTACTTAATAAAGTTAAGCGTTTTAAAGCAACCGAGTTTCGACATCTCTTGTTGTACACTGAACCAATAATTTAAAAAAATATTTTTCCGAAAGAGTTCTACCAGAACTTCCTGTGTTTAAGTATTGCAGTATCGTTAATGAGCAACTCGAATGTAGTGAAAAGACAACATTACTTGGATTATGCAGAAAAATTAATGTGTTGCTTTGTATTAAATCTTCAAAGGCTTTATGGGTCACAGTTTTATTCTTATAATGTTCATGCTTTGCTTCATTTGCACAAGGATGTTTCTTATCACAATTGCAGCCTTTATGATCTTTAAAGTTCTCCTTTTAAGAATTTGCTTTAAATTGTTAAAAAGTTTGTTAAAACTGCAAATAAATCTCTAATTCAAATAACAAAACGCTTAAGTGAGATAGAAAGTGGTAATGTTTTTTATGGCTCTAAGACTATCACTGACAAAATTATTCAAAATGATCGTGATGGCTGGTTTATTTTGAAATCAAATTAAATCGTTTGTATCATAGAAATAGTTTCAGATACTGAGTTTGATTGCAAAGTTATTCCTTTCCATACTATTAATAATTTTTTTTTACCATCCCATGTAACTCGTCCGAGTTTAAAACATAGTCAATAGAAATAAACCCTGGTCTGGAAAAGCTATTGTCGTATGTTATTGTTCGCTTTTTTTTAAGTCACGTGATCAAATCTAGTGCAAAACAAACAAAACTTTTATAATGAAAGTTACGAATTAATAAAGATTTTGATGTTTATTTTAAATTAATATATTAAAATTATTATTTTTCTTTATTATTAAAATAATATTGGTTCCTTTCTATTGTCTATGGTTTAAAAACTTTATTCAATTTAAAATGTTTCTTTATATTCTATATTTAAAAAAAGTCTAAAAGATAAATCCAAAATGCCAGGTTCAAATTGTTGTCTACCAGGATGTACAGTTTCAAGATCTATTAAGCACAAAGATATCACCTTATTCAGAATTCCTATGAGGACAGGAGACTTTTATAAAAAATGGAGACAGAGATTGTTAGCTATTATCACTCAGTATAGAGACTTTGACAAAGATTTGAAAGAAAGACTCTCAAAGGGCAATATTTATATATGTGAGAATCATTTTTTAGCAGAAGATATTGAATTGACAAGTAAGGATACTTTTATATATTTAGTTGTTTAAATTTGCTTTTACACTCTGTGTTATTTAATTTTAAAAGCTTTAATTTTGGGCAACTCTGATAAGTTTAAGTACAATAAACAAATAAATTTCATAAAGCTTAAAGTATTTGTGGCTTTATATAAATTTGTGGATAACATATTCTCTTTTTTTCTCAGTATTGTTCTTATTTTTGTGTGATAATTTATATTTACTTTATTGAAATATGTTGAATTTCAGAAACTGGAAGGAAATCATTACGCTTAGAGGCTTTACCAACTGTTAACCTACCCATAAAATCACATGAAAAAGAAAAAAAGGTACCTAGAAGACACATAAGTATTGTAAAAGATATTGTCCCACAGAAGCGAATAAATTATTCAAACTTAATTGATTTACAGAAAAAAACCCAAAAGTTAAAACTTAGTGGATGGGAGATGACATGTAATGAAAACAATATCAAATTTAAAAAGTTATTGCCTTTGTATTTGTTACCTAAGTATGAAGTTGTAGTAGATGACAGTTTAGCGTTCACCATTATTGTATTTGGGTGGCTCTTGCCAGATACTCACTTAATCTATAAATTATACTCACGATCAATGCTGAACACTACAGTTACCGAACTTTTATGCAAAATATGTACATTAAGATTTTGTTCTGGTATTATAGAAAACATCAGAAAAATAAATAATGATGATTTTGTTGATCATATTGTTCCAATGGAATTTGATTTAGAAAGTGCAAGTACAGATGGTATGCGTGTATCAAATGAAAGGTTTAAAAGAGCAAAATCATGTATTATATTACATACTAGTGAGTCTGATAATATAAATTCTGTTTGTTCATTTTGTACCCACACACTAAAAAAGAACAAAATGATTAAAATAAAAAAACAACATCAGTTAGCCACACCTGCTCTTCGAAAAGCTCCACTTAGTAAAACAAATCCTGTTCGCGTAAAACAAATCCTGTTCGCGTTCTATTAGCATTAAAACAAGAACGTCTAAGATGTGCCCAGCTAACAAGTGATTTAGAAAAAATAAATTTTCAAATAGACTCTAAAGGTATTACTATTGATGATGGGTTTGTTGATGATTTAAATCAAATAATGAGTAGTAACTACGAAAAAGCTACTCCCTTTATGAAATTATTTTGGGACCAGCAAAAGAAAATGTGTAATAAAAATTTTGGCTCAATAAAGTATCACCCTATGATAATACGGTTTTGCCTCTCACTTGCCTCAAAGTCGGCCTCAGCTTATGATGAGTTGCGCTCATCAAATGTACTAACATTACCAAGTCGCAGAACTCTAAGAGATTATAAGAATTTCATTCGACCGAATGCTGGATTAAATCCTCCCGTAATTGAAGAATTGAATAAAATTAGTATTAACCTAGTTGGCTACCAACGATATGTAACGTTATCTTTTGATGAAGTAAAAATACAAGAAAAACTTGTTTTTAATAAACACACAGGTGACATTATAGGTTTTGTAGATTTAGGTGAACCTGATTTATATTCTACTTTTCAAAAGGAAGATTCTTTAGCAAGCCATGTTCTAGTCTACTTCATTCGAGGGATTGCTTCTGACTTAAAGTTTGCTTTATGTCACTTTGCTACTAAAGGTCTCACCTCGTTTCAACTAATGCCAACTTTCTGGGAAGCAGTTGGAGTTTTAGAACTGACATGTAAATTATATGTTATAGCTGCAGTATCGGATGGTGCAGCACCAAACAGAAAGTTCTATCGAATGCATAGTATGTTTGATGACAAATTAGATTGTAATGTTGTTCATCGATGCATTAATATTTATGCCCCTGAACGGTACTTATGGTTTTTTGCTGATGCTCCCCATCTCATCAAAACAGCAAGGAACTGTTTATATCACTCAGGTATGTAAATTATATTTAAAGTGTATTGGTTTACAGGCCTTTCCAGTAGAAAATTATCAGGTTATGGTTATTTCTTGCTGGAAAGTAATAATAAAATAACAGATTTTTATATTAAAAAGTATGAAATGCTTACTTATTTAGCTAAGATTAGAAGGGCTATGCAATGTTTTAAACCTCCCTAGATTGAGAGTTGAATTGTAGGCAATAATTTTGTGTTATATTAAGATTCAATCTTTTTTTATTTCAGGGGATGGAAGGGGTACACAAAGTCTTTGGAATGATGGACAACAATTGATTTGGTACCATATCACAAGAATAGTCAATGACGAAATGAAAAATGGGTTAAAAATTATACCAAAGTTAACACAGGATCATATTAAACTTAGTGCTTATTCTGTTATGAATGTAAGACTTGCAGCCCAGGTTTTAAGTAGTAGTGTCAGTAACATTTTAAAAAATTATTACCCTGATGATACAAATGGAACTGCAAAATTTTGTGAAATGTTAGATAGTTTTTTTGATTGCTTAAATGTGCGAAACAGCAGTGAAGGGATAATGAAACGCAAACCATTTTTATTACCATACACGGATGTTAATGACGAGCGTTTGACATGGCTACAGAATACATTTTTATGCTATCTAGAAAAATGGAAAGAGTGTATTATTAATTGTCCTGGTAACTTTTCCAACAATGCAAAAGGAAGAATGTTTATCTCTTGGCAAACATACGAAGGACTTCAAATAACTGTAATGTCTGTTATCGAATTGGTAAAATTTTTATTAAAAAGTGGTATGCCGTTTGTTTTGACTGAAAAATTCAATCAAGACGTTTTGGAGGAATACTTTGGTAGATAACGGAGTTGAGGTCGAAGAAATGACAACCCTACACTATATCAATTTGGTTACCAGTCAAATACCTTGCGATTGCAAAGATCAATTGCGCCGGTTACTGGAAATACTAAAGGTGGTCATGGTCAAAAACGTGAAGTATCTTGGAGTGTTGTTGATAATGAAAAGTTACCAAAACGAAAAAAAAACCTATAAATATAATCTAAATATAAACATAGCATATAACAAAATATATCAATTATTTGTATTAAGTTTAAAGTTTAAGTCTTTATTTATTGTTTGATTTACGTTTTATACTTTTTCTTAAAGATTTTACTTTAAAACTTTGATCATTGTTTTTTGCAGTTATATTTTTAGCCAATGAAAATGTACGAACTCTAAAATAAAGTTCTATCATTTTTTCTAACAAGTTAAGCTTAATTTCCTTATCAATAGACACGAATTTCACATCATCCACGATTGCATTGTAAAAACTTATAATATTAGGATCCTTTAATAGGTGTTTTGTTAAATTCTTACTTTCAATATTTCGGAGGTTAGCAACTGCAGTTTCTTGTCTAAAATGTTTCTCAGCTAGCAAGAAAATCTGATAGCATTCTTCACATACTGCTGTTAAACCCCCTCTGTTTTGGGTATTTATTAACTTTTCTGAACTTGAAACTTCTTTAGTTGTTTGAAGTAATAATGCAATTATAGCTTGATTGTACTGGCTTTTGTAATTTTTTGTTGTTTTTGCCTTTTTAGTAGATTTCTTATAACATACCCAGACAAATATTTTAATCCATCCACTTCACGTGGTGAAATTTCTTCAACTTCAACATTCTTTGAAGGAGAGCTTTGAAAATGCTGAAATAATTTATTGCATAACTTTGTTGTAAATACTGTTGATGCAGGTTTCTTTAGATTAAAATATGTGTCTGAAAAGAGAACAATATTGCTATAAATATTGGAATAATACTTTTCAGCATTTCCAGATGATTTTAATTTTTTTGACATTTTTTTTATTTCATCAAAAAAGTTTTCTGTTATTTTTATTTCAAAGTCTTTTATTTCTGAAATAACTTCTTGAGGATAACATTTATTTGTTGACAAATCAGCTTTAGTTTCTGCAACAATTTTTTTTATATCTGTGACAAAATCATTATAATGCATATCTGTAAGACTCTTTATGGTATGTTTGTTTTTATTGTGTCGTGCTAAGCCTCCTTTTGTTTTATACGTTTTGGATTTGCAAATTTTGCACTTGAAGTCTCCAATATCGGTTACCTAATATATATTAAAAATAGCATTTATTATATATATATTATTTTAGTACGATTATCAACAGTAAATATTAGGATACAATAACTTTTAAAAATGTTTTTTTAATTTAACTTAATCATTTGCGTTAACCTTTACACCAAAATAAACCATTCTAATTAAAATTTAAAAATTATTATTACCTCTAATAATGCATTATCAAAATATTCTTGCAAATCTGGATTTAATTCATCATCAGCATTAATATTTATTATAAAATCAAGCGTTTCGCCTGTAAAAAGTTCTTCAGAAAACGCCATTTAAAAATTTGTTTTGCACTAGATTTGATCACGTGACTACTTTTTACGCACTTTTCAAGATACGGTTTTATAATAAGATTGAAACAATAGCTTTTCCAGACCAGGATTTCTATTGACTATGTTTAAAATATACTAAATCTCTAAGTGCAATAAAATGAAAAGAAAATTTGTAATTTTATCTGATATTTGCTACAAATTAGTTTGTCTAGAACAAGATAATGATTTTGAACTAATTGAAGTAAATCATAAAATAATATATTATTATTTTTAAATTTATGTTTTTTGTTCAAGTGTCAATTTTATTATCTATTCAAGGATTTAAACTTGTTAGTGTTTCAATATAAAAGTGGTGTTTTTTCTTAAAATCTTCTTTAAATTTTGATGCTTCTTTCAATTTGTTATGTTATATTAATATTTTTTTATGTTATATTAATATATACACTTGTTTGTTAATTTTTATCAACTTGTTAATTTTCTATGATTTAAATGTTAAATATAAAATGCGAATATATTTTAAGTCACTCTTAATTTTATTTGGATACTTTTATCTTTTAACTTTTTTGATATTTTTATCAACTTATTGGTGTGCTTCAGAAGTGCTATTGAATTAAATACATGTTTACTAAAATTTTCTGTAAGCATGCATTTTATTACAATTTAATCTGTATTTGTATGAAGTGATGTCTGAAGTGAAATTTCTAAAATTTAAATTTCAAAATAAAATTTTGAAAAAAAAATCTGAAATACTCATAAATTAATTTCCATTTATTTTATATCACCTTTTAAATGTATACCTTGTTCTTGTTTGGTGAATGTTTAGAATAATACCATATTAAATGTCTAGTCTTTAACTATTGTTTTTTAACTATTACATTTAAATTACAACATTTCTTTTAGTTGCAACGTTATTCTAACATGGCAATAATTGTCTATTTGGCTTCCTTGTGTTTCACTATAAAAAAGTTATTTTTCAAACATAAACCATAAGTATTGTAAAAGGTAATATTTTTTGCTTTTTATTTTGTTTGCCTTTTTAAAATCATTTTCATTTTTATTTTTTACAGATTATTATTATTTTTTAAATATGCATTTTATTTTGCTTCAATAATTTATTAGTTTTCTACGAAATATTTCTTAGCTTTTTTTATTATTATGGCATAATAATATATACTTAGTAACCATGATTTTTTTTAACTTGTCACACTTATGAGCTTATTGTTATAGTTGATAACATCACAAAAAAATGAATACAACATTAGAAGGGACACATTGTTGGGCTATTTAGAATAAAATTGAAGATGAAGATACTTCTGGTTTTTTTCCATCAAATTCGTAAGTTTCTGGAAGCCATATATTTTGGCCACCTAAGAATTATTTTGAAGTCAAACATGCATTTCATGGGCCTGATAATTCATGGGGAAAATTTATACTAATTAAAGTTAAGGTTTTTGACGAGTGTTGTAAAATGTTATATGAAAACTTAGATATAAACTTTCTTAATTAATACACAAACAAGTTAAGTTAACATATATGCAAATTTTTTTATATTTCAACTTTATCAAATTACATATATACAACTGGTCTATCCAATTGTCTATTATAATTCAGGAACATATAAATTCTGTAATGAAATGTGCAGTACAGGTGTTGGGTAGTTTTTGACAAATGATGAACGTGTCTCATCAATAAAAAAAAAACTAAGTAAAAAAACAAGTAATTTTTATTAATGTTTTTACAAACATTGCAAAAAAAGTATAAATTATTAGTTCTTTAAAAATAATATAGTTTTATCTTATAAATATAATTTAAAAAGAAAAAATGAATTTTTGTCCCATGTGCTTACAATATTTACATTGCTAGCACACAAGATAACTTTAGATTTGTAATATTTTGTTGTTTTGCGATAGGAAAATATTTCTTGCACATTGGGTAATGATTGATTTTAATTTTTAACAGTAATCTATAGTGTAAATATGTTTTATATAAAAATATAAATATATATGATCTATATATACTATTTTGAAAACATTTACCATTATCTGTAAATGACAGTCAAAATACTTTATCATTTCCTTCTCCACCATCTAAAATTCAAGGTAATATATAAATTTTTTATCTGTTTAATTTATATAAGTTAAATTTTTTTCCCCTTGGAACCGGAATGCAGCTTAATTTTAATGTTTTATAATCATTAGAGAGAAGGTATAGTTATTTGTTTATGTTTAACCCAGACACATTTGCTTGGGTTTACTGTTTTTATTATTATTTTTTTAATTATAAACAACTTTAAAAAATTTAAATGAATTTATTTAAGTGGAACCCCACGTCAATCTCTTTTATGGAACAGGACTTTTTTAACATGACAACACCACTAAAAAGATTACTGTTTAATTATACTACAGTTTATTCTATTTTTATATACATTTAAGTGAGTATATATATATATATATATATATTGTCATTACATATTTTTGCATTTACAGAAACAAATATCTAGTGTGAAAAAGAATGAAATGTCACCCAGTGTGATTGAAAAAAAGAACTACGTATGTGAATAAAGATCTTGAAGATCTTATTGTTAAAAATTGCAATAGTTACGATTTCTTTATCGCTCTGAATTTTTTAAACATTAAATTATTGGCGCAACTTTGAATGAATGAATTTTTTATTGATTCTTTAGAATAACAACTTTTATAAAAAAAATATTGTATTTTATTGGCGAAATATACATGCTTATTGCGTCATGCTCTTTATTATAGTATAATTCAAATATTTATTTTATTTTCTCTAATAAATAGTTTTGCTATTATTATTGTTTTTGACCATCAATATTACTTTTGTTAAATAACAATGTTGTTGATTTCCACCATAAATAATATTGTTATGTAATAACAGTTTTATTGATGAAGTGATTATTTATAATATTAGTAAGATTAATTACAAGAAAAAAACTAACTTAATATGAAATCTATAATAATAAAATTTTAGAAACATTTGTTTGGTGTTTTATTTATTTTTATTTGATTTTTTCGTAAGTTATGTATAGTTTGTTTATTTTAATTAGTGAAATGTATTACTTTTGTAATTATATTTTATTGGTGTTTGAGCCATCTGATAAAACAATAGCAAAGTATCAGAAAGTGATACAGCCCTGTTTTTATCTAAGGGGCAGACTAGGCTGCAGCCAAAGGCCCCACAGTTTTATTGGGTCCTAAAAAAAATGGTATTTAGCAGTGTTTAGAGCACTGCTAGGATTGTTTAGTGCTAGTTCCAGATATTATATCTTTTACCAAAAAAGTTTAGATAGAGTCTAAAATTATGACTCGAACTGTAATAAGAATCATGAAATAAGTTTATGTAATTTGCTGTTTATGTATCCTATATAATATTATAGTTGATTTATAAATTTATTTAAAAGATTATAAAGAATTTAAATTTCAATTTAATACACGTTAAAAAAAAAAAGTTAAACTTATTAATTTATATAAGTTGATTACAAATTAAATAAAGTTTATTTTATGTTGCATTCATTGTTCAGCATTATAGATTAATAGAAACTTTTTTTAATTGTTGCATTTCTTGATGAAAATGATGATGTTACAATTGTACTAAGTGCTTGGCTGATTGATAGGGAAATATGTTATTGGCCTACTTATATAAGCCAGTAAAGAAACAATAAAGCTGCC